GTATTATTTGTTGAAACTGTACTTCTGATTTGATTTGAAACTGTCTCATTGCTATCTGTTTATCAATAAAACTGTAGAAAAAAAAATTGGGCTGCGGGTCTCTCACTCCTGAGTCACAAAAGATCTTCCATTTGAGCACAAGTCCTTTTCCGGATGTGTATGTATCACAAATATCATCCATCTGTCTGGACTTTGTGCACACGCTTTCCTAACTTGGACTTTTAAGGAACAGAGATTTCAGTTCTGATGAAATCCTACAAGATGTATTTGGAAATCTGTGTATATTTTGTGTGTGTGGAAAATCTACAAAGCAATACTAGAAATAAGTGAGTCTGGACTTAATGCAGTAGACAAAGTCAAGTGAATATAAAAGAAATATATTAGCACTTATGCAAAGACTACAGAAGTGGTGATAGCAGATCTGAAGAGGAACTCGCCTTATCCTGTCATTGTGGTAGTTTACATCGACACATTTTATGTTAGACCAGCCATAGGGAAACCTTTAGAGACCTAATGTCAAACTACAACCCCAAACCCACTTACTTAGCACAAGTGCCAAACTGCAGTTAAACTTGAATAGTGAGGTTTTAGTTTATATAAAGCTACCCTATACGAACATCTTCTGCCTTATTGAAAGCCCACAGTAACGCGTGTGCCATAGGTTTGCCACCCCTGTGTTAGACTATGTCTTGGAATAAGCCTTGCTCGTCCATGATGTCTTATGCATTTCACATGCAGCTATATTGAAATTTAGGGGTTTCAATACATAGTTTGAAGGCAGCTACTTTGCTTTAAGATGGAGTCAAGTTGGAAAATTGTTTTAGATCCTTTGGGGCTCTGTTGATGGACTAATCGGAATATTATTGATTTTAACTGAGCACTAGGATGCTTTGCACCTGGGGTATAGGTTGAGCATGTCTGTAGAACCTTAGATGACCTGTGACCTGCCCCACCCCAGGTATTTGTGTGGTGCCAGCATTTCCTGTTCCCCGGAACAGAGTTCTGACCCTCCTCCCTTCCTCCCGCAGTACTACTACTCCATCAAGGACATCTCTGTCGGGGGGATGTGCATCTGCTATGGCCACGCGAGCAGCTGTCCGTGGGATGACGCCAGGAAGGTGAGTTCGTGGCGGGTGGGCGAGGAAGCTTCTCTGGGCTGCCTTCGAGGTAGGACCCACATTTCTGTCTTGTCTTCAAGGCAAATGAAGGGCACAAAATCGTGCCGCAGGAAGAGGGAGATTTGCAGATGGTTTCTTTAAACAGATCTCATCATTTTGCTTTCTTTGGAGGTCATCATGATTTTTTGTGATAGGACATCCATAGCATATACATTTTTCATGGCTTGGTGGTTTTCTGAGCTCTGAAGCTCTTCAAGTAGAAACCGTGGGCAATCCAGTGTTAGGTTTATGTTTTTTCAAAGCCGCGTTCCTCTCTTCCCTTTTTTTTTGTTTCCATTTTTGGATCCTAAACCAAGATAAAGTTTATGTATTTTAGCATATTAAATAAATGATATGTCTTCTCTTTTTGGAAAACATGAGGTTACTTTTTCTCCTCCAATCTTAGTAGGTTTGTATTCTGGAATAGGAGTTTTTTTCCTTTTCTGGGGGCTGAATCCATGGCCTTGTGCATGCTGGGAAAATGCTCCACCCTTGAGCTACTGCACCAGATCGTTCTGTGTTTTAACTAAAAAAAGCCCGTAAGTGCACATCAGTAATAGGCTATTCATGAGAACAGGATGGGAAAAATCTAATAGGGAAAAAATTATTAAGAAGGGCTCCCAACCTCTGAAAGGTAATGCATCTTTTTAAAAACCTCTTGGTAGCACCTGTTTTATCTTTGTTGGCTCCTCCCTGCCCCTGTTTGTGACCGCGTTGTGTGCATGTTTCCTTCTGGGAAGCTGAATGGCTGGTCCGCTGCAGCCACCTAGCCTCTCTCGCGGAGTCCTGCGGCTGTTCGATGGTGTTAGGTTCTGTTCTTAAATAAAATGAAGAGAACTCGGCAGGCAGTTTTCTGATCGCCTTTCGCACCCTTCTTGCCTAGCGACTGCAATGCCGGTGTGAGCACAACACCTGCGGAGACAGCTGCGACAGGTGCTGCCCCGGCTACCACCAGCAGCCCTGGAGGCCCGGCACCGTGTCCTCCGGCAACACCTGCGAAGGTCGGTGCCCTCGCACTGGGGAAGTGCGGTCTCTTCCTCTCTGCAGGTTGGAGGCAGTGGGGCCCTGCGGGCATCTGTAGCAGTAGGGGACCCTTGCTCACACCTTCGGAGGGTTCCCAGAGCTGCGGGTGACTTTCATCAGCTAAAGCACCGACTGAGGGCTAAGAAGTCTTCGCGGACTTGCTCTTGCATCTGCAGTTCCCTTCCCACTTATTCATTTATGCTTTATTATTTTGTATTTCATCCTTAGACAGGCGGCGTAGCCCCAACACCCCGGCATCTGGTGATGCACGAAAGTACAGGACATGAAGTGGCGCTCGCCGACGCCCTCCTCACCTTCACTCTCTCCTCCTGTGTCTTCCCAAATCACTGTGCAGAGGAGGCTTCCGGCAGTACCGGGCTGCTTCCGTGTAGTGCGGCCGGTTATTGCTTCTTAGACTTTGTCCTTGGTGCTGGGATCGGACCCAAGGCCTCAGCTCGACAGGCGTGCTGTCTGCCGCCGAGCTGCCTCCCCACCCGCACGTTGCTTTCTGTTTTATTTTCATGAGCACTTATTTGCAGCGCACATAATGACTGCGTGTGCTGCACAGTGTTGGTGCGCACGCAGGACATGTTTTAATTCTTCTTAACTGCCCCCAACTCCTGGTCCCTTGTCATTTGCAGCAGGTCTATCTCCAGGTTCCCTATTATCTGCCTTCTATTTTGCTCTTTAATTTTATATGTTGAATTTCTCATAGAAGAGCAACCATGCAGTTTTTAAGCTCTTGTGTCTGACTTACTTTGCTTTATCATCTTCAAGTACGTCCATTTTCCTACAAAAAACTCAAGTTTATCCTTCTTCACCACAGCATAGTACTCCCTTGTGTATGACTCCCATACTTTCTGTGTTCATCTGTGATGGCCATTTAGGCCACTTCTAAGGTTTAGCTACTGGGAGCTAAGCATGGGGATGCACGTACAACCGAATATATGAGCACACACTGCTTTCTAATACTTCACAGCACATCTTTTGTTGTTCTTGTGGTTTGAAACAAAGTCTTAACATGGAGTTCAGGTGGGCCTTTAACTCTGGCAGTTTTCCTGCCTCAGCCTCCTGAGTGCTGGGATTGCAGGCATGTGCCTCCCTGCCTGGCCTAACAGCATGTCTTTAAGTTCTTTCCATGCCAGCAGTTTGAAATGCTTTTTACTAAAGCAGTCACACAGAATTCCATCCTATGGCCATGATAATATCGTGGGAACAGCTGCCTGGGTGGGTGTTGTGTGGTCGCCATCCTGCAGCTCGGTCAGTGGCGCTGTGTTAGCCGCTGTGGTCGTGGCTGACTGCCAAGCACTCTCAAAGCACGAGCTCCGAGGGTGGATTGTGGGGTCGGTGGACACCAGATGTGGTTTTTGACAGTCCTTCCTGGTTGTCCCGCAGGTACTGTCTCTGTGTTATTAGAATTTGTCACTCTGGAGTCTCAGTTTCATTCCTAGTCCCGGGCTTGCTTAGGGAGTGAAGGCCGCTCTCCATAGGACATGCTCTGGAGCTAACAGAGGTGCTGAAATGGTCTTCCAGAATGTAACTGCCACAATAAAGCTGAAGACTGCTACTACGACGAAAATGTTGCGAAGCAGAAGAAAAGTCTGAACACCGCGGGGCAGCTCCAGGGCGGCGGGGTGTGTATCGGCTGCCGGCAGAATACCACGGGCATCAACTGCGAGACCTGTGTCAGCGGCTACTACCGGCCACACAGAGTAAGTGGGTCCTTCCTCCCCGTGCTGCGCAGCCTCGGCTCCTGAGATAGAAGACACTTGGCCAAGTCCCTGCCCCTGCCTAGAGACTGGCTTCCCTTTGGGATGCTGTGCCTAGGCTCTTGTGGTGCTGATAGTGGTCTTTTAATTTTTGTTTCTGCTCATCCTATTTTCTTGCTCCAAGTGGGGTCCTCGTGTAGCGGCTGACCTGGGTTCCTGAGGCCTCTAGCCATGTAGTTTTGGGTGATGCTCCCTGTAAGTTTGGAGATTGAACCCATGCTCAAAGCAGCTGTCTTACCAGTGGGGTCCCTTCAGTTGGACCTCAGCTCACATCATAGCTGTTCCATGAGTCCTTGGGATGGGTGGCCTGGGTAGGAACGTGGCCCTGAGAGATAGTGGGGCTGAGAGGTTCATGGGCAAGGGAGGCTCACTGCTCATGATATGGACTGCTATCACCATCAAAAAATGTTCAGGACTTTCAGCTCCCTGAGATGCACCCCACTCCCTGCACAAAATCACTTCCATGGTGTCTTTAATAAATCCTAGTACCGTCAGTATTGTTGCTGCTAGTGTCGTTGTTACTCTCACAAGCTAACCAGGACAACTTCTGTCTCAGGTTTCTCCCTATGATGACCACCCTTGCCGGCCCTGCGACTGTGACCCTGTGGGGTCGCTCAGCTCTGTCTGTGTCAAGGATGACCTCCAGTCTAACTTGCACAATGGTACGTCCTGGTTCATTTTAGTACTTCTGATTCACTTTGTTCGGTGGCAGATTTGTACCTGCTGGAATTGTTGCTGTTACGTGGCCATTTGGCGGTATGATTCTTTAGTTCAGCAGTAGTTTAGCAGCGTCTTACCTTGTGTTGGGGTGTTTCCTGGAACCCCAGGAGGTGCTTTCCAAAGGGCACAGTCAGCTTTGGCTCACTGTCAGCTCCACGTGAACAGATGCGTGAGTACAGTTCTGGGGTGCACAGTGCTGCAGGTGCAGAGCCGTTAGGGATTGTGATGGGAGGGAGGTGGGTGTGGAGGTGCCAGTGTTAGGGACGAGATGACACACAGGAGGTACTCCCCCTGCTTGTGAGGTCAGGAAACGGTTCCGTGCAAGCCTGTGTGGAGCACAGTAAGTAGCGGCTGCATCCTGTAGCTCTTTGCAGGTTCTGGGAGGCTTTTGCGTCCGTCCCCCCACCAAGCAAGTGGCTCTTCCAGCTAACTGGAGATGCGAGGGTCCTTTCTGTTTTGAAGCCTGGGAGATGGACCTGCCAGGAACCCATATTTCTGATAGGCAGCCTCTGTTCAAAGGCCTCTGTGAGCCCCGCCAGCACCGGTCCATGGCGAGGCAGTGGCTGTGACCAGCAGACGCAGGTGTGGGCTGTGGGGCACCAGGCAGGGGAGAGCAGGACCCAGCGGGCCTGAGCCTCTGCCCATGCGCTGCCACAGCACGAGGTGCTGCTGCTGCCGTGGGTGGTGAGTGACCCTGCCCTGGGTTCACTTCAGAGACACCACCCAAGCTTTTCAGTCACAGCAGGTAGGAGTTTTTAACCTGTTTAGGGTCAGGGAACCGCAGCACAGAGGAGTGAAGAAACGTGTGCCGGGTTACCGAGCTGCTGAGATTCTAAGCTGGCTTTTCACACAAAGGCGGGGCCGCTGCTCTCCAGTTTGTTTGCTTTTGGGCTTGATTTGAAAACTGTGTTATGGCTTCCACAAGATCCACAGCTCTTTTATTTTTCAGTTTCTATGTTGAGACAGGCTTCCCGGAGTGCTGGGAGTGCGGGGCCTACGGCTGTGCCCGGCTTGTTTTATAGCTGACTGCCGCCCCCATCACGATCCCTACCTCTGCTCCACGTCCTCAGTACTTTGCTTCCCAGAGCTGTACTCAGCGCCCTTCAGTTCGAGCTGACAGTGAGCCAGCGCTGACTTGCCTCTGGAAAGCGCCTCCAGGGTTCCAGGAAACACCCCGACGCGAGGCAGTGGCCTTCTTCACTACAGCGAACCAGGGACAGTCAGTGCCCGCCTGGCTGCATCCTGGTCCCCCTTCTCAGGCCCAGGCAGAGAACTGTGTTCTCGGCACAGCCTTGCTGTTCTGGACGGTTCCTGCAGAGGGAGCTGCCCACTGTGAGGGTTTCCTCGCATCTGGCTCCTCTCACTATTTTTTTTTTAAATATAAGCAACTTCCACTTTATTATAATCTGGACACTTTGCTGTAATTTCCACTGGTATCCATCCTTAGTAGGTTTCTTTTTTTCTTTTTCAAAGAAAATTAAAAATAGTAAAATAAAAAAAAAGAAAGAAAGAAAAAACACATTAGAAACAATACAGAATTTCACTAAACAAAAATAATAGGAATTCAACAGTGTTTGTTATATTGCATAATGTTGTCTTCAAATTAGTTGTTTATATTACCAGATACAAGCATGTGAAATTGGTAAAAAGAAAAAGTTACAGGAAATTGCAAATGAGAAGAAAAGGGTAAAGCACAGTCACCGCTCCTCTCAGTAGAGCCCAGGAGTCGGCAGCGCAGTTACGCAGCTCCCTGTGTGCACCTAGGGTGCTCACGGCGTCCTCCGTGCCGCAGCGCGTGCCGGCATCTCTTCTCCTCCTGCGGCTGGCGCCTGCACCCCGCCTTAGATCTCCGATCCGCAGCAGCTGAGTACCTGTCTGTCATGAGCAGTGCTGCTGTGTACATTTGTGTACCTTTGTGGCCATGTGTTTTCACTTCTGTGGGCATTTGGTTGCAGCACTATACCTAACGGTTTGTTCCCTTGGGACAGGGCCCCACTGTCCTTCGGGCTGACCTTGCAGTCACTAGCTCTCCACTGGCCTCCTGCCGCAGCCTCCCACGCACATCCTTTAGAAGAGCTGCTCGCCTCTGTCCCATGGTATTGCCACGTGTCACATTACCACCAGTTTCTGTGAGCTTCTGCTTTTGGCTTTTTGTTTTTCTTTAAACCAAGATCTGGCCATTTGTGGACCATGGGCCAAGCCACACACTGCCCACCAGCTGTGGCTGGAATGCTGTGTTGGATTGAGAATGTCTCAGCTGAATAGTCGCAGTGTGGACTGCCCCAAAGCCCAGAATATGCAGAGAAATGCCGCCACCTGTGCTTGCAACCCCTCTCACCTGCGGTTCTGTTCTGCCCAGGGCTCTGGCCGGGGCAGTGTCCCTGTAAAGAAGGTTACGGAGGAGAGCGGTGTGACCGCTGCCAGTTTGGCTACAAGGGTTTCCCAAGCTGTGTGCGCTGCGACTGCAGCCCGGCGGGCAGCGTGAACGACGACCCGTGTGCCGAGCCGTGCCTCTGCAAGGTCAGTGCGGGGGGCATGCGCTGCTTTGCTCCAGCCTCTCGGGGGCTGGGATGTGCTCGCTGGTGCAGACCAGCGTCCTTGCAGTTGGGGTTAGTGGGCCCGGCCCCAGCAAGCCTGGGGTCCCAGCCAGCTGGCCTTGTGACGCATCCTGGGAGCCAGAGGCCCCCGGCCTTCTACCTTGGGACTTCTGGGTGGCGGCCATCTGGTGCCTGTCTTGACTTCTTAGTGAAACCCAGTGTCTCGTGCCATGCCTTTGACCTTGGTGTAGCTCTTCCCTGACATTCGTGGCCAGTGTGGCATCTGGAGTAGGATTGGGTCAGTACCTGGTTTCCAGGGACACTAATTCAGTGCAGGCCTGTTATCCAGGTTCTCTGTTGAGAGGAATCGAGCAATACACATTCTCTGACACCAGGGCGCAGCTCATGTGGCCAGATGATGTTAGGATTTCACACTGTAGCTGTGTAGCCTCATGCACGTGACTGAAAACAATCCCGAGTGTTTGTAAATAGGAAACACACTTCTGATACAGATGTCCGTGTGCGAAGACTGCCAAAAATGGAAGGTTGAAGGAAAAGTGAGACAGTCCACTTGCACATAGTAACCAGGCTCTAAGATTCGTGGTCTTGTTCTTGGCCATAAAAATGAAATAAATTTTTCAGCCCATCTGCTTCAGGAATATTGACGCTCCCTCTATTTTCCGGGAATACTGACTTTTCCCTGGGAGCCCTTCTGCCGCGTGGCTTGCAGACCCCCTTCCGGTTCGTATCATGGTCGTCTTCTGTCTAGCTTCCCCACTAACCTTTTCTGTAACTTGCAGGACAATGTCGAGGGGGAAGCCTGTGACCGCTGCAAGCCAGGGTTCTACAACCTGCAGGAGAAGAACCCTCAGGGGTGCTCTGAATGCTTCTGCTTCGGTGTCTCTGGAGTCTGTGGCAGCCTTTCGTGGCCTATCGGACAGGTGGGTGGTGCCTCGCGTCCGCTGGGTCTTGGGATGGTGCTGCTTCGGAGCCCTCTCTGCTGATTCCAGGCGATGAGGCTGCCTGCCCATGAAACACTGTTTTCATCCCTCCAGAACCGTGTGAGAGATGGGTCAGCCCACCCCGAAAGTCTCCCTCAGTGTTCTGAGTTCGTATTTGTTCCCATCTACCCTTTGCCGCCAAATGAGCATGAGATGCAGGCTAGCTGGAAGCATTCTTTTTTTATCGAGTGGAGTGTTCGAATCCTCCTCGCCTGCTCCTTGTCTCCAGCATCGTGCAGGACCTGAAAATCACTGAGCTCTAAGATGCTGGGGAGGGCGGGGAGGGACAGCAGCTGGTGGCTTAGGCATTCAGGGCAGCAAGGTTTCTTTGGGGGTGGAAGTTGGGGGCACCTGCGATCCAGAGGTGGCAAGTGGCTCCAAGGGGAGGAGCGCTGGGCACAGGCTGACCTGTTGGCTACTGTGGGTGCCATAGTCGGGGATGGGAGGGGAGGAGTTTTCAGCATTTGGGGAGAAAACAGGAAGGGGGAGTCCGAGTTTACAGATGTTTTGTTCCTGCATATGCAAGTTGAGATCTTGGGGAGCAGAATTATTTGGGTGTTCAGAGTCTTCATTGGTGTTGGGCTTTGTGCATGTATACAGTGAGGTATCTCAGGGGTGACGACCAAGTCCACGTACCGAATTCATCAGCATTCCACATGCATGGTAGCCACATGGCCCAAGGGTAATTTTGTGGAGTACTTTTTGTGCACCTGCATTTTAGCTTAAACTTATCACATGAGGTCAGGAGTGGAATTTTCCACTTGAGCGACTGTGTTGGTGCCCCAAAAGCTTTATATATTTTTTCTATATATAGAACATTTTCTACATATGTAGAATATATATACGTATATGGTTTTGCCTTTTTATTTGTGCGTAGCTGATTTGGCATGGGTGACTTGTTCCCAGGCTGTCTCAGAAGGGTCATGTGATGTGATTTGATAGCAGTAATTATTTTAACTTCATCCCTAACGAAGCGTAGTGAGTTCCCCTTTTCATCATGAAGATCCTTACACAAGACTGAAGGAAACCCAAGACGATCTCAGTTCACATAAAATTCTTGGATTCTTTTGCAGGTGAATGACATGTCCGGATGGCTGGTCACAGACTTGGTCAGTGGCCGGAAGATCACCTCCCAGCAGGAGGTGGTTGGTGGGCGCCGCCAGGTCAGCATCAGCCACGTGGAGGTGACGCAGAGGCTGGGTACCAGGTATTACTGGTCAGCCCCTGAGGCCTACCTGGGAAACAAGGTATGTCTGTATCGGGGAGAAACTCGAGGGCGGGGCACGGAGTGCTGGGGAAGAGCTTCGGTTTTTGCACTCGAGGTTATCCTCTTGGCCGGGAGTAATGCATTTCACAGCCTTTGACTTAGACGTGCCACTCAGAGTTCGGTGGCTGGGAGCCTGGCTGGGCCCCTGGTAACCTAATTGTGGGCACAGAAAAGGGTTAAGTAAAAGGGACAGGTAATACGGTTTTTGGGGCCCAGAAGGTCAGAACTCTCTTGGAGCTAAGACAGAAACGTCTCTGCACTGCCAGTATTTGTTGACAAGTCAACAAATTGGGGGAAATATAGGGCAGTGAAGGGAACAGCTTGTGGCAAAGGTGGGAGACTGAGCAAGGTCCTGAGAAGCGAGAACAAACACCTTCCGAGCAGTCCATCTTGCTAACCGGGAGCCCTCTCTTATCGCTTAGGTTGGCAGCTTACTGCCCCGGAGCTAGAGAGAGAGCCAGATGGCCCCAGCTCTGGCCTTGTCTTGCCCTCAGAGGTGTCACAGTGTCACAGAGCAGTACAGACCTACTGTGGCCAGTGGCATAGAGAGTTAGATTTACTGCATGCCAGCCACCAGCTCTTGGACAAGTTGCCTTTGCCTGGGACAGACTCAAGTAAATACAGAAAGCAGTCTACGGTGTGACATCCCCCCTCCTGCTTTCCTTCCCTGGGTCCCTGGATCACGTGGGCCTCCGGGGCTGTCTGTCCCGTTCCCACTCGGTGGAGGGAGCCGTGCACTCTGGAGGGAAGACGCAGCCTCGATCCCACCATGGTCTAGATGCTCTCGGCGTCAGGAGAGGCCATCGCTTGTATAGTGTACAGGCAGGAGCTGGCAGGACACCTGCTATTCCAATTTTAAGAAAAAGCCATGACCTAAAGATGGAAAGATATTTTCTTTTTTTTGGTGCTGGGAATGGAACGGAGGACCTTGCACTTGCCAAGTGGGTGCTGTGTCGCTGAGCTATATTCCCAGCCCTAGAAGCTGATTTCTTCACTGACAAGTCCCCTCCTGGTTACTCGTGTTCCTTCCTTCCGGGTTCTGATTGAGGGAACCATCTCTGTACCTGTAACCCTGCACGTACTTGGGGGTTTGGTGTCTTTTAAGGCGACCGTGTGCTTTTGTAGTCATGTGATTGCGTAGCTTCATATGTTTCTACTTAATGTGATGATTGTATTTTCTAAGGTGTGTGTGGTCTTAAGGCGTACTTATTTTTGAAAGTCCTTTTTCCAACTAATTACAGTTATAGACCATACACTCTGTAATGTCAACTTACCACAAAGCCTGAGTTATTTTTCTCTCGAAGTCTTCTAGCCAGTTTTAGAATTGTGTGTCGTGTCATTATGTGGCCATCCAGGAGAGATTCTCTCTCCCACTGCAGGATGTCTGGGATTCCTCCTCTGCCTGGCAGCTGGGGTGGTACTTTCTCAGTGAAAGCAGCACGTTGAGATTACACTTGTGGATCAGACTTCCCACCCCAACATTATTTAGATGAAACAAATGTGTAATGAACAGAAGCCTAGAGTCACTTTCGTGAGGTCTCCCAGACAGAGTGCGTGGAGACCCTCAGTATTTCATGCCAAACAAGCCATCGGTATTGTTTGCTGCCCTCACTGTGCATTCCATGCAGCCTGGCATATCCGGGGGGCTCTTGCAGCCCCCTCTGCTCACGCAGGGATTGGCGCACCCCTGTCGTTCTCACTTTCTCATACTCTTCTCAGCTGACAGCGTTTGGTGGGTTCCTGAAATACACGGTGTCCTACGACCTTCCCGTGGAGACCGTGGACGGTGACCTCATGTCCCACGCCGACGTTGTCATCAAGGTGACTGCTGTCCTGTTGCTTTGTCTGTAGAGCTGGGGCTTGCAGCGGTGACAGCCTGCTGCTAGCGGCCAGTGGCATTCCGCAGGGACTTCTTGTCCAGACACCTCCCAGACCGCGAGGGTGCTGTAATCTGTGTTGGGCCCCATCTGGAGTTGGCTGAAGAGAGATAGGGTGTGCAGCTCGCCGTGCCACCCTGTCGCTCTGCCTCGGCCTCGAGACGGTGCTTGGGTGCCCCCTTCCCTTTCCTTCCTCCTGTGTCACCTCTCCTGGTGGGTGGATTGGGCAGACCGACGGCAAGAGGACTGGAGACACACTCCGCCTTCTGTCTGTAGCTTCTGCCCTCTGAGCCTTCCCATCCCCGCCTTGCCCAGGGCTTGGGGCACCCGACCCTTCCACCTCAAGTACCTCTGTGTCTACATTTGTTAAGGACAATTCTGGGAAAAGGAGGTAAAATTAGTGCCCATGCTATTTTGAACTTTTATTCTTTAAAGACTAGGGATGTCTAGCCAGTTGTAGTGGTATGGACCTATAATCTTAGCCTTTGGGCTGGGGAGATAGCTTGGCAGTCTAAGCACCTGCCAAGGACCCAGGTTGAGCTGTGTAGCGAGACGCTGTACCGTGTAATTAATAATTAAAAAAAAAAGATTAATCCTAGCCTTCTAGGAGGCTGAGGCAGGAAGATAGCAAGTTTGAGGCCAACCTGGGAAACTTGGCAATTTAGGGAAGCTCTGTCTCAAAGTAAATTTTAAAAGATGAGGATACCACTCATTGCAAAGGCTCTGGGCTCAATCTCCCATGCTGAACAAGAAAAGCAGAGGCACTTCAGAGTGTCAGAGGCAGCTGGTGAAAACGGGGCAAGCGCATGCCTTCTCCGTGAGTGGCCAAGCTGGCTTTGCTCTCAGAGCCTGCTGCAAGGAATCCAGGCACAGCTTTTCTCTGGCCGTTCTGGACCAAGTGCTTTAAAGACCAGTGCAAGTTAGCTGCAAAAATCTGGACTCGGACGGAAGCTGTGCCGCTTGATGCTCCATTCAGTGGGAGATTTTTGATTGTTCGATAGAACTACAAATGCCTTCCCTCTTGTTTCCAATGCTAGGGAAACGGATTCACGTTAAGCACGCAGCCGGAGGGTCTTTCTTTGCAACCCTATGAAGACTACTACAACGTGGTGAGGCTGGTGCCTGAGAGCTTCCGGGATTACAACTCCAAGAGGGAGATTGACCGCGACCGGCTGATGACTGTGCTGGCCAATCTGACCCACCTCCTCATCAGAGCCAACTACAATTCCGCCAGGACGGCTCTTTATAGGTGCGTGATCACAGGGGGGGCACTTCTGGAGAAGGGACTGCAGTGCTGTGGTACATTTCAGCCTTGGTGTATGAAGGACACAGTTAAAGGAACTAGCTCTAGGAAAAGTCATTTGTGTGAGTGCAGGGCTAATGAAGATCGAAGGCCAGTTGTTCACTACCTGTGTGTCCAGTAGGAGGCAGTCTTGACTTCCCATTTAGACACTCAGGTGCCTGGACCACGAGGGATTGAGTTTTCTATCTCTTGATATTAATATGCGTGGTTTTACAAAATAATTGGAGCTGCTGTGTCCATCTCGGTCATTTTGTTACCTGTTACTTTCTGCACTGCCCAGCCAAGCATAAACATGCACACTGCTACTAAAGCAAACGTAGTCTACTTAAAGATCGTCTCTGCATTTCCAATAAGGTGACTTGTTGGGTGAATTCTTGGGGAGTACTTCAACTGCAGCTAGGCAGTCTGTGGGCAGTAGCACATCTGAGCAGCAAGCACGAGAGAAGTTTCCAGGGAACCGTGGTTGCTGGCTCCCTGGGGGTTTCTGTTGGGGAAATCTTCATTTACTTGCAAACACCGCAGGACTGTTGTGTTTGAATTACGTTCTCTCAGAAACCATCTGCCTTGAGGTGAGAGGGGTCCTTTGCAATCACAGGCACTTATCTCTTCGTAGGTTGGATTCTGTTTCTCTGGACGTAGCGAGCCCCAATGCTATAGACCTGAGAGTTGCCACTGCCGTGGAGCACTGTGAATGTCCCCAGGGCTACGTGGGGACCTCCTGTGAGGTACTGGCTGCCTTCCTGTCCGCCTGTTTTGTTCTTTTATGAGGGAAAAGAGTGCAATGAACCTGATGCATTGACAAGTATTTGAATTTTAACTTTAGAAACCCAGTGTCTCGTTCAAACTTCACTGGATTGCAGGAATACTGGAAGTCATGTTGCTTTAAAGGAGTTGAATTCTTGTACCAGGATTAGACTGAGGAAGATGCCCTGATTTCAGGGAATTTTCTTGCCCCAGCCAACAGGAAGTATACAATACTCCTGGCAGGCTCTGCATTGCTAGGCAGAATTGAACTAGGCCATTTAAACATGTACGGGTCACCCATGTCAGACCAGATAGCTTTTGGTCAGCCAGGCCCAGTTTGAGAGCTTTATAGCCCTGGCTGTTTCACTTTTTGGGGTGGTGGACCCTGCCTTACATAGAAAATGCAGGCTTTGCGTCTGTGGGTTAAAGCAGTTGCAGGCCAGACGTCTTCCAGAGAAGAAAGCACTGCTCCTGTGTACATTTACCAACAATGTTCTTATTCTCCTCTGAACAGTACAGTTGGACAGCCACCTACCTGGGTATCATAAGTCATCTAGCAAAGACTTAAGGCCACAGAATTGCACATGTATGCAAATACGAAGCAGATACGATGCCATTTTATATAATGGACTTACTTGACTCTCAAGGACCGTGATGGCCCTGGGGGTCCTGGAAGAGGACTGTCCAGGAAAACGGACTTGTTAACCACCAAGGAAAGTGGACACTATTTGGACTTAAGTATTGGAAGTAACCCTCTCCCACCGAGTGTCCTGTGCATGTGACAGCACTCACCCATCCCTTCCCCACTGCAGTCCTGATGACAGTAGTGGTAGCTGAGTGTAGATGCTTTCTCTTCCAGAGATTGGGAAACTGAGGCACAGTGCCATGCAGTACTTTGACCCGGGTGCCACAGCTGGGAAACACTGTTACTGGAACTTGACCTCCAGCCCGCTGCAGTGCTGGAGGGCCCGCCCTCCCCCGGGTCTCTGGTCAGCAGTGACGAGGAGCTCTTGTCATTGCTCGAATTCCCTGGCATTCATTTTTACGAAGCAAGAAAACTTAATCTACAGTTTGCTTGTATTTGCAGTTAGAAAAGTTGGCCTAATGTCTCATCGCGCAGACATTTAACTGAAGAATTCTTTTTTAGTATTTTGCAGTTGATTGATTTATTTTCTTTGTATTTTGCTTTTTAAAAAATTTAGGCATCTTGTACAGGGTCTCATTACGCAGCTCGGACTCGTCGCGATCCTCCTGTTTTCAGTGACTGCTGCCTGCTGTGAGCCCAGAAGGGTACAGGGGTGTAGGCATATCAGAGGGCTTCCGCAGTGTCTGCGCAGATGACTGTATCCACGTTCTTTGTATAATTAAAATACTCTTGAAGAATTCTTTTTTAAGGGCCGGCCAGATAGCTCAGCAGAGTAAAGCGTCTGCAAGCAGGTGCAGGGGCCAAGGGTGTGATCCCTGGGCCTGCTGTGCCAGCCCCACCCTGGGACACGCTGAGACTGCAGTTGAGACTGGGCGTGGTGGCGCCCACCTGTAATCCCAGCTCTTGGGAGGCTGTAAACAGGCCGATCACTACGAGTACGATCTAGTAGTGAGACCCTGAACACCCTGTAGATACCTGAGCTTCCCTAAGATACAAAAAAAGTCTTTGTAAAAATGCCACCTTCTCTCAGGGCGTTTCGTGCCTGTGGGGTTTTGGGCAGCTGGCTGCACAGCTTCCCTTGGAGCTGTGCACACCGGGCTGGGAAGCATCCCCTGGACTGGCCCTGCCCCGTCCAGCTGTCCACATCCTGCTACTGCTTCTGTGAGGCAGAGCTACTGTTCTTCAGGTTGTGATGCCAGTGAAGCCACTCCCATGTGGGGTGATGGGGATGGCCGGCTGGGTCTCTCCACACGAGGGACACCTGTGATGTGCACTGTTACAGTGACGCGGTGAGGCCTCAGGCCTGCACAGGAATGTGCTTGTTGGAGGGCGGGGCCCTTCAATGAGTGCTGCACCTCAGTAAAGCTGAGAGACCCAGCGCTCTTGAGGAAGCGCCTGCTGGTGAGCGAGCGCTCCCCTGCGCCCAGCTGGACACCGTGGCAGTGTCTGCTGCCCCGCGGCACAGCCCTAAGCCTTTGGGTAACTGTTCCCCCATCTCACGCAGCAAGGAGCGAGACGTGTGAGCTGGTTCCATAGCTTGGCAAATCCACTGAAAACTGCTGACGTACACACTTAAACTGGTGGTTTATGGCACGTAAATGAGATCTTGATGAAGATGTCTTAAAACGAGAAAACAAAGAAATGCACACTGCTGCGCACAGCGAGCTGCACGGCATCTTTGCCAGAAGCGTTGGCCAGGCTGGGAGGGCGTGCAGAGCCGCATCCTCAAGCACGGTGGCCCCTCTCTTGCAGTCCTGTCAGCCCGGCTACTACCGAGTGGATGGGATCCTCTTCGGTGGGATCTGCCAGCCCTGTGAATGCCACGGCCACGCGCAGGCCTGCGACGTGCACGGAGTTTGCTCTGTAAGTGACTGCGGAGGCTCGGGTGCTCCGGGCTGCTCAGCCCTGAGCTGTGGGTTGCGCAGAAGTGATGTTTTCCAAAATGATTTCTCCACAGGGTGGTCTGGGCGCAGGAGAGGCAGAGCCATGCCTGGAGACAGTCCCTGCCCTTCTATCACCTTTTCTTTGGGTGGGGGTGGTCCTTTAGTGAAAGAGGTTGAAGTTCCCTAATAAGAGCGTTCACACTGCAGCACCCCCAAATCTGTAAGCTTCTGAAAGATAACATGACACTTGGAATGGAAAATTTCACATTTAACCTTGTGTGAGGAATCCGAGTGGAGAGACAGATGTGCTGAACTTGCCGTGCAGCAGCCCCCTCGGGCCGAGTGTGTCGGGGACTGTAAAACAGATTGGTCGCATGCGTAGACTCAGGTTCCACCCCAGAGATCGTATTATCTGATGAGATGTTGCTGTCCACGATCGCTCTGGATCCCGGGGATGGGGATGTGTGCTGTCATTGCTGGTTTTTATTAACAGGACAAAGAAAAGTGATTACTGATAGCAAAATTATAGAGCAATGTGAAGGTAGCAGAATTGTCCACTGAACAAATGCAAAGGATCAGGTCCTTTCAGTGGAAGCACATGCTTTTGCCATTCTGTGCCACCGCGTGCCACTGGAGTAGTGACGGAAGTGCGATCATCACGCTCGCTGGTACAATGTGGTGCTGGGTGGCCTGCTGGGATCAAAGTCGCAAGTTAGCGCCTCTCCCAGAAGCAAGGTGAACTGAAACACAGCTCCATGCACGTGGCTCATCCTGGGCGGCTGCAGGGTGAGACTCGTTTTCTGGCTGTCAGCTTCACTCCGGAGTCCACAGGCCTGGAGGCCAGCCCACCCGCTGGGTGCGCCCCTGAGGAGGGGATGAAGTTTGTGCTCCTTGCAGAGCTGGGAGGCTCCTTGCTCAGGGCAGAGGGGGCTCAGAGCCGGCTGCGCAGCTGGCATCTCTCTAGAGCCCAGTGCGTCTTACTCAGAACAGTTCTTCTTGCTGTGGGTTGGTTTCTTCATTTGGGAAGTAAAGGCTCTGTAGGAACTACTGGAGTCCCCTGTGGTGGTTTCCCAGGGTGCAGGGCTCCCACTGGCCTCCGGGGGTGCCTCTCCCCTACTGTTAGGATCTGCAGGGAACCCCACACACACGTGCTGCTGGCCAGCACGTCCTGCACATGCCACCTGTGGCTTCCGTGACGGCTAGTGTATACCTGTGCGTTGTCCACATTTCTACAAATACGTATGCACAGGAGTACATACTGTGTGTATTAGGTATGCACTAACTGTGCTCGGTGTGTGCTGAACACACTAATACATGCTAAATCTGCTCATGCTTAGCGAGGAATGCATATCCAGTGTGTCTGAACGTCTCTTCCTAGGTCAACACGTTCACGTGTCCTTGCTCTCTGAGCATGTTCGCGACAGCCTCAAAATATACCATTTCTACGTGTGTGTGGTGCACAGTGTGGTCATTTCATGCATGTAGATGAGGTGGAGCGGTCGAATCAGGGTGGTAGCGCGTCCATCCACTCACACACTTGTCATTTCTGTGAGCCGGGAGCCTTGCGGCTTTGCCGTAGATTGCTGTAGATTATCAGTACAACGCTGTAGACTACAGCACGCTCAACTCACTCCTCCCCGGACCGGGACTTCGGCTTTTGCCTCCCACCTCTTCTGTTCTGCCGAGAAAGCCGTGCCTTTGCTTTCCGCAGAGGGTGAGGCTGTGCGGCCTCGGCCTGATGCCCGGCTTCCACACAACGCCACGTCCTCCAGTTCGCTTTCTAAATGCAGCTGCTTCCACCATCGCTGCCATCTCGGGGTTTCTAATTTTTCTCCGGAGTGTGGATTAGTTGTACAGTTGTCTAAAACCACTTGTTTGAGATGCTTTGCTCCATTTTCTTGTTGTTTGCCACAGGTGGACGAATGTGGTGCCAATTACTCTAATGCGGTCAGAGCAAACGTTTCTAGGCTTCGCTTTTGTACAAATTACAATTTAAAAAGTTAACGTGGAAGTGGGGAGCCCTTCCACCTGCCACTTACTGCTGGCTGTTGCTTCGCATTTGCCTCGTTTGTGGGTTTGAACTCAAGCTCCAAGCTGACAGTCGATGAGCCTGCAAATCCTGAGGGACCTGGACTGACCTGTCTCGTGTGTTCCAGGGCTGCACACACAACACCACTGGGGACCACTGTGAGCAGTGCCTGCCCGGCTTCTATGGAGCGCCTTCCCAGGGGACACCCTGGGACTGCCAGCCCTGTGCCTGCCCCCTCACCACACCCTCCAACAAGTAAGTCTCATCGCCCACAGGAGCTCAGGGCGGATTGGGATGTCCAGGGCCAGGCTTTCCGTGTTACCTGTGTGGACTAGGATCAGATACAGAGGCAGCGAGCCATCCTCGTCTTTTTGGAAGTCTGCATGCTGAGGTGTGTGGTCACCAGGACGCATGCATGCCTTGGCTGTGTCACCTGTGCATGCTCGCTCTGACCAGCAGGCTCAGAGGCAGAGGGTGTGCAAAGCAGTGACACACTGGCCTGGCTTGGTCTGATGACGAAAAGAGGAAAATTAGAGAATAAGTGAGAGGAAGGTATGAATTTGTTCACCCATTTGACACGTGTTTGCTGAGTGCCTGCAGAACCCCAGGGCCCCAGTTGCTGCCCTGAGTAGCAGGCCTTTCAGCAGGGCTGCTGGCCTAGGAACCCTGTGTGGTCACCCCTGCCCTGCAGGCCTGTGGCCCCACATGGTCAGGTGTAGAGAGCAGGCCCACCCAGCCTGCTGGAGCAGGGATGGCTGAGTGGCAGCTCCTGGACTCCGAGGAGGGGTGTGACCCACAGCAAGAGAGGCTTCCCTGGCTTGGGAATGGGCACTTCCTGCCTGAGGACTGAAGCGGGCCTTGGAGCAAAGCCCTGTGTCCTGCGCACCAGCGCCTGGAGCCCTGTGTCCTACACACCAGCCAGCTCCTGTCAGCAGTCTCCGCCACCCGCTCACAGTGAGGTCCCCACAGGGCTTGTGAGCTGAAGCGCTGCACTGTCACAAAGGTGCGGTGTTAGTGTGGTCTCGCTGGGGTAGCGAAATCCCCAAGGCTGCACAGCCACGAAGCCAGGCGGATCAGTCCGCCGCTCTAAGGCCGGGGCGAGGTGCCAGTGTCCAGCGAGAATGTCGTGGCTCATATCTGTGGACAGTAGCGTGCTTGAGAGCAAGGGAACCAGAGAGGCTGGGGCCAGGCTCATCCTAGGGTGACAGCTGGCTTTCTACCCTGGTCTGCTACCTGGATCCCCCCAGGGTTTGTAATTTTCAAGGTCGTTCACACCTTCCTCCCTCCCCCTTAGCTTTGGAATAGAACAGCATCATCCAGGAGGACCTAGGGGAGCCCATTTCCTGCCCTGGAAGCTGAACGTGCTTGACCATGCCCAGCCACAGCCGTCCACTAGTGGGCTCCCTCAGGGCTGCTGCTCGTCCCAGGGCCTGCAGCCAGCTCCCTCACCCAGAAGCAGGATGGTCAGAGCCAGGGAGTCACAGGGAAGAACTTGCGGTACCAGGAGCAGCCTGGAAGGCTTCCTGGAGAAGTTGCTGCTGAGTTGGCGGCAGCATGAGCCAGAGGCCCCTGCAGAGGCCCCG